ACACACACACACACACACGCACACACACACACATACACACGGAGGATTGCATTACCCATCACTGCCATTCTGACTGTCTCAGTGAAACCAACCAAGCTGCAGATTTGAGGGTTGGGGAGAAGACCATCAACCAAATCTGGAGGGCTTGCCTTGTGCCCGGGACCATTCTGCTTTGGAATAATTTCTCACATTCCCATCCAGAAAAAGAAGGCAAAAAAAACAAAAAAAACCCTGATCTCTCTCACCTCCCAGCAGGAGAAATCACAATTCAGAAAGAGAAATAGAAAGGCAAGTTGACGTCAAATGGATTTGGTTCTTCATCGACTGTTCAGCATAGATGGTGCCAAGTTAGGAGATGAAAGTCAAGAGATGAGAAAAGGGAGGTGGGGACGCAAAGAGAACAGAAAGGAAGTTCACACGAATTAAAATCTCCAGGATATTTGATATGATAAGTATAGTTGTTATAAAAAAAAGGCACTTTTTCCCTTCCTTCCTTCCTTCGTTTCTTTCTTTCTTTTTGGACTGTGAATTTTAAAAAAGAGAGAAAAAAAGATGGACGGTGATTTTTTTTTCCCTCTCCTTTTTTGTGGGCTGTTGCTGAGGTTTTATTTTCGATCCTTGGGAAATGCAGAGGTTGTGCTGCGCGGAATAGGTTTTGGTGCCAAGAGAGAAAGCAGAACCAAAACAAAAATACATTTGTGGCTGACAGGCTTGAAACAAGTGGACGCCGACGTGGACGTGAGCGCATCATCTGCTTTTCAAGTGAACGGTATCACCCCGTGCACGCTCTTATTATTCTTGGTGTACAATTCATCTCCCTTTCTGGCTTCTGAAATGGTTTTGGAAGGAGAAACCCATGTATAAACGGTTTGAATGAGGTTTTACTCTTCTTGTGCAGAAAAAGAAACTAACACAAATCTCAACTCAGCTTAGCTGGCCTTGTATCGTTGATGATGTCCTTCCTCATCTCCAACCTGCTCATGGTGGGTTGAAGCTGATCTCATTTTCTCATCCTATGTCCACCTGTGCCATCGACCACGGACGACGCTCTTGATTTAAGGTGGGACCTTCTTCATGGAAAAGATAAAACCCATTGAAACCCTCAAATCATCCATTCTTTCTATTGTTCTTTTTTTTAAAAAAAATGCTACCCCCCCACTGTATCCCATATTTTATTTTCACTATGCTTTTAACAAAGAGATATATAATAACTTGCTGTGGATTGGACTTTTTTCTAAAGTATCCATGTATGGATAGTAAGGATGTTATCTTAGGCACATGGACCTGATGGTCATCTCCCTCAAACTAAAAGGGTAGTGCTTTTAGTCTGTAATTAGGATTGCATACTTGAGCAAACTGACATTTTTGTGTGGAAGAATATCTAAAATTTCACTGTCATATGGGATTCCGTCGAGACCCCTGGTGCATATGATCATATTCTGTTCCCATATATGGTATATAGTGATCTTTTGAGCTTTAACCATGTTAATTCCTTTGGGGTTTGTTCTGTGGTATAAAGGAAAAACAAGCAGGATTTTCCATGTTTGATTCTGATGGCTTCTCTCCTTCATTGTTGCTAAAAATTATTTGGTTGCCATATTCACTGAAACGGTGTGGTTTGGAAAGCACATTTCATCTTCTTCTTCTTCTTCTTGCCAGGCTTGATTTAAAGCATACAATTCACATTTTTGAGCAGACCATGTGTTTGGAAGTTGCCCTGCCTCCTCTATATTTTGAGCTTCCCCATTAACAATTGCATATAAACAATCATGTTC